TCAATAAAACTTAGTAAGTAAATGTAATACCACGGATATTTGATGGCGGTTGTTTTGTATTAAAGATTTATAATGATTATGTAAGAGTAGGTTGTGGTAGGTACATTTAAAAAACAAAAGACAAGGTGGAACAGGCAGCTTTATTGCTGAATATCAATCGTAATAATCAATATTTGCCTTGATTTTCTTTGTGATTTTCTTCTACTACTACACTATTCTATTCCACCTGTAATTTTGGCGAACTACCCCTAGTTTACCAAAATTACAGTGACGAGGGACTTTTGAGATCGGTTTTTTAGCGCCGGTTTTTTACCATTAATTTATGTACTTGTAAGTTATCGGTCTTTCCCTAATTCACTTCTTCCGCAATGTCTTAAAGATGTTTAATTGTCGGTTATATAAGCACATATTTAACCGACACCTCTATTCTAAACTACTTACTAAGTAACAAGGGACTCAAAATAAACCAATATATTTCTTTTTGTTACAGATATAGCGGGGATGACAGTCTTGTTCATAAGCAGACAACTTTCTTGGTAAGTTGATTTTTCATAAAATACTGTGTGTATTTAGCCTTAGCTAGAGTATTTTTAGTAGCAGTAGAGGTCCTTGTGAAAGAATTCGTCCAGGGAAGTACTGCCACCTTACCTATTTCTACCGCCGAGCAGTATCAGCATTACTGAGTTCCGGTTTGGAAGAGTAAGGGTGCTGGTGAAATTACAGACACATGGGACTTGTCAGTGGCAGTGCCCCTCAGGTCTTTGCGATTTAAAGCACTGAGTGGCGCTGCAACTGTTATGGACAGGCTTTACCATCAGGCGCACGATTGACGTCCCGTCAATTGATATTATAAAAAGAAAGTATTATCATAGGAAATGAAACTATTTTTCCGGATTTAAATCGCGAATATTTGTTTTTTCAAACAAACGAACGTTTCGGGCCCTTTACAGGTTCCATGGTCACGGTTAGCTGCTAACGTGTAACAGTCGCGAAAACCTAAGAACTCGATAAGTATTATCATGTAAAAATAATATGTTCTTATTTTTAGGAAATGAAACTATTTTTCCGGATTTAAATCGCGTATATTTGTTTTTTCAAACAAACCGATGTTTCGGGCCCTTTACAGGTCCCATGGTCACGGTTGACTTTGTTGATGGGACCTGTAAAGGGCCCAAAACGTCGGTTTGTTTGAAAAAACAAATATGCGCGATTTAAATTCGGAAAAATAGTTTCCTTTCCTATGTGTAACAATCGCGAAAACCTAAGAACTCGATATGTACTTATTTTGTTAATAAACAAGCCAAAATCACTTTCGTGTTAGAAATCTTGGTGACAAGGGAGCAGGATTGGTAAAAACTACGATAAAAGGTGCATGCCCCTAATATCCTACAAATTCGAATCTTCGATGCACATAAAACGATAGTCGCGACATTTCTCGTTATCTCCCGTGGCGTTCGGCGCAAACGGTTCGGAAAATCGAACGGAGTGCAGCCCGAGCCCATGTCGTCTTCCATTACCGGTATTACAGCGAATGTACCGATAGCTATCGTTTTCCACCCCTTACCTAGTCCATGATAGATCCGGTGAAGTTTTTACTACGCTTTTATGGCAATAAGTAAATCTCGAATTTTATCACCAGCAGCGTTGGTTGCGACGCACTAAAACAACAGTACAGGGTCCAATTGAAGCAGTTGAAAAGTTTTTATTGTTACTATTAAGTTTCGTGAAACGCCGCTTGTAATAGCTACGTCTATAAAAGCTCTAACTTTATTTGCTGGAGTCTACATACATACATCACTAAGTCGTATGTCTGTTAGGAACCCTTCGATTATTCCGTATAAATACATTACACAAACACAACACTGCCAAAGGCACCTGTGCAATCTTTATTTTAACCCCACGTTTTACTCACAGCTTCCGTATTAACATTATGCGCTCGTAAAAAACTTTTTTGATCTTTGGATTTTATTCGAAATATGGATTATCAAGTTTCGTGTGCATGTACGAACAAAAATTTAATAAAAGCGATATTGGGGCGATTACAAGGCTTCCCGTTTCGCTTTACGAATTTAACGCAATAATTTCTGGTCGAGATATCAAAAACAAAGCACGCGTACGGTTCGTAGCGGCCACATTTTTGATGCACACCAAATTGTATCAGGAAATACGTTCGCAATGGGATGTTCAAAAGATGTGGGGCCGTCCCCTAAATGAAATGCTATAGATATTTCTATGGACAGTGCAGTAGGGGATATCTTTACAAAAGACAAGGAAAATTACGTCGGTATGAGTTGCCGGTTCTGTGTACAAATGAGGAACTGTAACGAAACATTAATAAAATCGTTTGTTTTTGAAAAAAAAAACTAAATCGATGAAAAATAAAAAATACAGTAAATAGCGACATCTCTAGCCGGGGCTGGTAGCTGTAAAGGTATCTAACTGGGTGACTAAATACTTTCATAGATTTCTCATACATGGCGCTACGGCTAAAAAGTCGTTGAAAAACCACATACGACAACAAGCACATAGAAAAATTCGAGAGGTCCGCTGATTCGTTCCGTGGCGTAGTTGGCATTGCATCTGGCACGACTTGCTAGAAAACGTCGGTTTGAATCCGGCCGGATCGGAGGATTTTTTTCTAACTGGTCGATCTTTGTATTAATTAATAATTTAAAAGAACAAACAAATCTTCTAGTGAATTTGTGATTGAAATTTGACACAGTCTAAAAAAGTACAACAGTGCTTTTTACAAAAAGACCAAAGACCGTTTTCAAACAGTATCAAATACAATTGACAAACCGTCTCTTCATTCGGAAACCAGGAATATAAACATTTGCGCTCTAAAGGAGTTACTATACTGATCGATAAGGGTTCGAATTAAGTCGGTGATTCCGTAAAACATGGGAAGGGTTGATGAGCTATTATTATAAAGCTTAAAGTCAAGGGCACTGAAAGGGCAAACACTCAACAGAAGAGGCTGTCTCTCACACGTCACATTGTCTCGGAGAAGCGATGCGCATCTCAAGTATCAGTACAATTCAATTGAAGCGCATCTCAAAAGAAGCAAAGTTCTCATGCATCAATCTCGTGATACAATAGTAGATGCCGATATATAAATGGCTTAAATAAAATTTATAACAAAAAATATAAACTTTTATACGAGTTGTGAGACAATTTGAAGTTTTCTCGCGAGTCGACAATGTTACTCTGCAAGTAAGCCTTGCTATGTGTGTTCTGCAGTTCTGGTGCAACTTCTTATTTTAGGTTGATTTGCACCGTGTATCAAATCGAAAAGCAATTACATTACGCAATATTCACACACATACCCTGTAATTTTTTATTTGAGCTTAAAACAAAAACTAATCGAATTATATTTAAACATCGATTAAATTAAAATAAATCGTCAAATATTCGATCGCTTTCCATTTTCATTCGTGTGACATTTTAAAATGACATAAAGAATTCGAATGACGCTTGACATTTTGAATCCGTAACTCGATAAAAACTCGATGCGATTTCTCGCATCACCTCTCACAATTTATTATTACATAATGCATTACGATTGATTGTAAATGTCCAGCTTCACACGCTTACAACTTTATTCGATTCTGATCGCAAAAACATAATCGATTCTGTACTCGATAAGCTTGTTCGATTTAATTGATTGAATCTCGTCGCTCTGTGTGTATTATGTAACTTTAGTATTGTTTGATTTTGATTTATATCTTTTTATATTTTCTTTGTGCTCGTTACTATTCGTCTGATTGTAAGAGTATTTTTGGTTTAAATTATTATGTAAAGGTCCTAAAATGGTCTCGTTAATATTTTGACCTCAAAGGTCGTGCGTGTTGCCAATATTAGAAATATGTTCTTTAGAATTGTGCTATATGGCAAAGATTCAAATCTTTTCAGCCATTTCATAGAAGATTTTGTGTTCATATTACATTGTAGTATAATACGTAAACAATACTTTCTCAATATTTGCAATTCACTTTCAAAGCAGGTCTCCGTCGTTTGTTTACCTTCTTTTCCTATATTAGAAATGTGCGCATAATCATTGCGTATATATACTTCCTTATTCTTGTTTATTTCTTTACTGTCGCAGTAATGTATTCTATTGCTACTTTGCGTTTATCCAAGTACTTTTAGACCAAAAGATATTCATTGTCATGTTTTGTTAATCGAATACCTTAACAGTTAGCTTCTGTTTGTTGATTGTCATGTTATTAATTTGTTTTTATCTTAGTGTAGTTAAACGTAACTTCAAAAACTTATTTGTCTCTGTCTTTTCCGTGCTTATTGCCAGTGCATGTTCGCTAACTCACGTGACGGCGGTTGCAATGTTATTCATGTAGCAAGACGACTTTATTTAGATTTAGATTCAAATTCAGATTCATTTATTTCTCAAATATAATGTTACAGTATAAATTGCACTACATGTCAAAGTATAATAAATTATATTGAGATCGTCAGACAAAAAGAAAAATTATAAGAAAAGTGCACAAATTATTGTGTAGAAAATTAACAATTCATTATATAATATTGTTGTCATTAAATTACATATCAAATATCATTCTCCATCAAGGATCGTCATAAGTTGATAACAATTATACAAGAGTATGTTAATGCGGTAAAAATTTGAATAAAAATAGAAAATACTGAATTTGTTACAATTTAAAGTCCATAAATTCTAAAAACAAAATCCTATATTCCAGAGTATATAGGATTTTGTTTTTGAGCGACCTTTATTTTATTTTATTTTTCATTTAGATAATATCATTTGTCAGCTTCAGGATTCTATTTAATTTCCTATCCATTTATTTCGCAGACAAATTCTGAGCAATTGTCACAGATTTTTGCCCGCCTCGATAGCCCAACGGTTTGCACTATGAGCACTTGATGAAAAGGTCTCGGTTCGATTTCAGGTTCAGATTGATTTGAACTTTTCTGATTTAGTTCTAAATCTCACTTCTAAATCTAAATAGTGTGATTGGTAGACCAACGGTTTGCACTATGAGCACTTGATGAAAAGGTCTCGGTTCGATTCCAGTTAGGATAAGATTGATTTGAACTTTTCTGATTTAGATCTAAATCTCACTTCTAAATCTAAATAGTATGATTGGTAGACCAACGGATTGCACTATGAGCACTTGATGAAAAGGTCTCGGTTCGATTCTAGGTAGGATCAGATTGATTTGAACTTTTCTGATTTAGTTCTAAATATCTCTTCTAAATCTAAATAGTTTGATTGCATGCATACTTGACTATATTGCCCCAAATAAACCCTCAGGCATTTTTTCTTTTCATTACAGCCATGATTGGTAATGAGATGTTATGTTGTAGCACGCCATACTTACATAGGTCAGGTTCAAGTTCGAGTAAGGGGGTTACTTAAGCTCAAAATTAAAACATTCGCAATCATTAAATGTTATCGAAATAGGAATTTAATAGCAATTGCAGTAACTGTAAATTACAATAAATAATTTAATTTTTTACTGCCCTAATTATTTACTCGCAGAGTGATGAAAAACATTGTATGTTTTTGGGAATTACGAACCTCAATTCCGAAAGCCTTCAGTCTTCGACTTAGACTCGGCCATACACAATGTACTATTACTTTTGCTTTTTAATGGATTTCTTGTCGCCCTGCATAGGCGCAGATTCGAGTCCTGTCAGATGGAAAGAATTTTTCTCTGTGTTCGATCTTTATATTAATAATTACAACAAACCAGAGGAGTAATTTCATAAAAATAATTGTATGTCATTATAGTAAAACGTGAAGAAAACCAGAAAGCCACGCGGTCAAGATAAATCGTTACTGTAGCAATGAACATCTACAGGAAGGAAAAGATAGGTCAGCCATGTCGTAATCCCAATGGAACAACAGTCCCATTCTATGAAGCACTTTCTCTTTGCAAATCGCGAACTATAAATGCATTTTGAATTCCGAAAGAATATTCCAAAGCGACTAAATGTAAATCTCGAAATGTAAAACACTTACAACATTTCCCTTTTATTTTCCAGTAAGCAAACCGTGTTTGCGACAATACCCGGGAAAGAATTGGCTGCTCTAGTGTGAAATAGCACCACATTGTAAACTTTGGAACTTGCATGGTCACGTAGACCGGGAATGAAGCCTGTACCATTTGTTCCATTTTTATAATACTTACTTTGGAGCTAGCAGATCTTTACAACTTTAAGACAATAATAGATATGAATAAACTAAACGGATTGATTTTTGGGCTGTTGCGGTCAGTATCAAAATTACTATCATTTGCTGGAGTATTTTTACCGCATCCCTTTTTTGTGGTATGCATTAGGAGCAAGAGGCGACTGAAGAACTGTAGTTAATCCCGGGGTATTGAACAAGACTTTAAATTGTATTAATGTGTTTAAGTTTTATTTTTGTTCCTAGCAAAATTCATACAATCATTAATCTGTTACTTGTTATCATTGACCTACCACAGGTCAATGCTTGTTATTAAATAGTTTGTATTATAACGTACTGTATCTTTGACTAAGGTTTGAATCTACCTGCTGTTGAAAATTGTTTTTCCCTTGAACGTGTGAAGTTGATTCGTGAAAATTTGGTAGCGGCAATCAATACCTAGTCAGCTCACGTGCGTTCAACTTATTCTCGTGCTCGTATCACTCGCTCCAAAGTTACTTCTGAAGTATCCGAACCTACTTTAATGCGACACGGGCAAGCACCGTTAAATGCTATTTCTATGGTTTTTATTTTATTTTTATATCTCAAATAAATGCTAAAAGTGCAATACAATATTAAATGGTGACTCGCTGATTAATCAATAGAAAACTCATTACGAAAGGGAACGAGCATCAAGGATAATAACGCAGAAGAGTAATATGATTAATATTATACGACGTCTGCGCTGCTTGGCGATCTAATGAAGAATGCCTCACCCCGCGCCGCTACTACGCTTATATATTTCCCCCACCATCGTGTGATTGATGACGTGGTCGCTACGTCACAACTATCCTGCTACCCGTTCGGGTGATGTGGGTGCGAACTTAACGTAATTACCATAGGTAAAATGTATGGGACGATAACTGTGACAGATTAACACCTTATCTAAGGAGACATTTATCATTGAAGACAAGTTACCACTTCGCTTAGACTCGGCAAAGTGACGCTTTTATTTACCTATGAAGATCTTACACTAGAAATATCCAACAAAATCATCTTGTGCTCTTAGACTTTGCTCAATATCCTATACTAATTTTTTTAAACCCAATTTTTCCTCAAGGAAAAGCGACATAAAGAAATGTAACAAATCAACATAGAATTTGCATTGAAATGAAAATTCCTCGCTTGTTACAATTGTATTTATTTATAAATGCCTTATTATTTTGTTACAATTTTCGTAAAAACGCGACGGCGAATACTGAGAATAACTTAATAAACAGTGTTCCCTAAACCGTTATTAATATTAAAATATCGCTTCGGGAGAGTCTTTTCAGGCTCGTAATTACCATCGTGCATTGCCTAAACTGGGGTTGGTAAACAAAGGCACACCTTTATCTGCCGAACGCGCCCTTGTCGTTTTGATTAATAAGTGTTGCTGACATTTTAATTAACTCCGGCCAAAAGTCGCCGCCGTACCTCTTTGTTACAGGCCCAATAGGGACGCTTTCGTGTTGGAATATCAGTTTTTGCTTGGATCATTAAGGTTATTTCATAAAATTTGTGCTGAAATATGTACCAAGAATACGAAGGTTGCGCAAGGGGATCATTTTAATTAACCTCTCCGTATTACCACATACATTACGCGGTAGCTCATTGCTATTCGTTTAGTATGTTTGATTAGATTAATTATTACAGAATTATTTCACGAACTTCGTAGTGTTACTAACCGAGATTAAAAACCGGTCTTTTAATTTTCTTTCGCTTCCGGTTACCGGCCCTAACCGTCAATCCAATCGAATCCCAATTCAAATGAAATAAAAAGTTATATTTCTTTTGTTTATGGTTCTTGACGTTCTGTCAAAGTAAAGGCTGTGTTATTTACTTGCACCGCTGACCTACGATGAACTCTGACGTCATCTATAAGGAAGTAGCAAATACGTAGTGGGGAGAACATTTACTACAAGTATAGTTAAGTAATCAACACTGAACACATAAAATACGCCTTCAATATCGGAATCACACGGAGCTATAAACCCAACGTAACGAGACAAACTCGCATAACTCACTATGAAATGTGATCATTAAACACGCGAACCCTAGTCGCGATTCAGAAACAATTCAAGATGATTGTATCGATTTATTATTTGATTGTATTTAACCAGACAGTGTATGGGTACAACACTATATCCATGATGTCATTCGTTTTAAGCAGGTGGGCGGGAAAGTTTTCTAATTCGAACGTTCTAATTTTGAATTTTAAATTCGATCTTGTTTCCTTTTCTGGTAGCGTTCTTTGATTGTTATTTTGTTTATGGGTAATTGACCGATTTGAGTTGCCATTTAGATAAATAAGTATGTATGTTATTTACATTAGTGATTTCAAATTAAATGATAATTCTATTAAATAAATAATTATAGACAGACATGTAGAATTTATTTTACAGTAAAGTTATTATTAAAGAGCGTGTTGGTATTTGCATATTATCTTGACTAGTTCCATTGTATTGAAACGAACGGTCCCATAGATTGAAATCTTGTGTTTTAGCTACAATGTGACCGTGACGAACTATGTTATTTAGGTACAGGCTATGAATTCACTACTGGTATATAAAGTTAACGTATTTTGAACCTTGTGAACATTACAAAGTGACTACGCCTGACAATGAGCGATACGTGGTCGGTATTGTATAGAAGTGGCGCAGCGCTCTGTGCGGATATTCTTTAGATAGCTGCTGTCTGAGGATTTACATGATATTAATAAAAAATCCGGGAGATTTTTTTTCTTCAAAATCAACGACATCTATGTACCAGCGTACTAGATACAACGTTCCGTACACACGTTGTGTTTCACTGATATGCGGTTCCGACACAACACAACACTTCAATATCATAGATTAATAAGCAACAAGAATCTTCTGAGTATACAATACCAGCGTATGTATAAAAAAGAGGCTGCATGGTCCGAAGATCTTTGCCTTTATAGTATAATTATAGTATTTTTTTCTTTTACTTAATTGGTTTTTTTAGTAATATAATAATTATAAATAGTAAGCGGAAGGCCTTTGGGTCAAAGCAAAATGAAATATATGTTGTGCAACTAATAGCGACTTTGTCAGGGACCTCACGTTATTTCCCCAACTATGGATAAACATCATTGGTATTTACTCAATATTATCTGACTGCCTAGCACATTCTCAACAGGTATAGACTGTCGCGTCTGTCCACGGTACTACCGCGCCGTACTGATACTCTTTGATAAAATGCAACACTAAAACAAACACTATCACTTTTGATAGTGGAACATGTAGTTTCTGTGAATGTTCGTGTCTATAGATTGAAGTCGTTCTTCAAAGTCGATTTATTGCAATAAAGCTCCTTACGAGAAGTTCGTCCAGAGAAGTACTGCCACCATATCTATTTCCAGTAATGACAGCGTTACACTGCGTTTACAGTTTTAAAGGGTGCTGGGGAAACATGGTATTGTTAAATTTATATCTCGGAATGACGGGTGCAGGGCTCTGCCTCTCAGATCTTGTCACGTAACATACACACAGACTTAGAATAATAACGCATAGAAACCTAGTCCGCACACGCTAAGTGAGGCAAAATGAAGCGCTCCCAAAGGGCCTACACGAGCGGGCGGGCCTTCAGTGCTCAAGGTCAACTTGCACCGCGAACAGATCAAGAATTTTAGCTAAAAATGACGAAATGTGCGGTAAATGAGTGTAACAATACGTCAGACAAACATAAAATAGATACTAACATCACATTCCACAAGGAAGTAACGCGTTTCAACTTGTATTTTTATATAAATATTCACTAAAACCGAAAATTAACCTACTACTAAAACTAGCCTACATGAATTTGATTTTTGCCTCACTTGTGACAGTTCGTTTGATATG